GTTCCTTTGATATGCATCTTCATGTCTCCTGAAGTAATTTTTTTGAGTTTCAGATTGTGCCATTCAAATTCGACTTACTCTCTCCTGAGAAGACTCCGATATGTTTATTAAAATCCCTTGCTTTGAGTTTTTAAAATCTATTCTAAATTCCATGTCTATTTATTTTACTTGTATTTGCATCTAGGTCTGCATACTTCTTTTACCAGGATGGTCAGGAGAAAGTAAACTATTTCTACAAAAGTCTCATCGAGCTCATTACAAAATAATTCTTATTACTTGTGATAATATCCAAGAGCATAATCTGTCCCTTTCCCTAATATTTCCCTTTTTAAAACTTTTAGAAGCTTAAAAATAATACATTCTTGGGTTCTGTGTATAAGAAAAGAGATCATGTTAAAGTAGCAATGAAAGAGAAGCTCTAGAACCAGACTGTCTGATCGTCTTCCTGTTCAGTTCTGCCACTAACCTGGGTGGGCAAGTCACTGAACATTCATCTGGGCTTTGCTACCTCATCAGTATAGTGGAGAGGATAGGCTACATGACTGATTCAGTTCACTGGGCACTGAATTTGGCACAGAGGTGACTGAGCCTGACTCTCCTCACCCCTCATGTCACTAACATCTGATGGCATTTTATCTCAAACCTCTACCTATCTGATAATTATTTGACCACATGTATACTCAGCCTCTTCCTTTTTTCCTTTTAATTTTCAGTGTCTGCCTTAGATCCCGAGAGAGATTTTGCAGCCCTAGCAAAATTGTAAGTAGCTAAGAATTAAGCAATTTTTTCCAGTCTTACCCAGTTATCTCCCAAACCTGTTCAGTAGAGTTCTATTTCACAGAGCTGCCTTTGGTTTACTTTCCATGGTTTAATTGCATTTCTCATTATGTCCCATCTATGGCTCTTTAACTCTGTTACTATTACCCAACTCACTAGAACTCTGCAAGCTAAAACAACATTTTATACATTATTTAAAAAATTATAAAATATACTTTATAGGAATTTACAATTTAAAGTCAGCACTGAACCAAAGCCAACTCTAAAATCTCTTGGGAGGGGGGACCCAAAAGAGAAGACAGATTGAAACTTAATCTCAATTTTCTTCTTTCTTTTCTTTTCTTGCTTCTTTCTTCTTTCTTTTCTTACTTCCTCTCTCTCTTCTTTCTCTTTCTTCCCTCCCTCCCTCTTCTCTCTCCTTCTTTCATCTTTGCTTTTCTTTCTTTTAAATTATAAACTGAGTTACAAAACATAAGAATGTAACTGGCACCAGAACCAGCATTAATTTTGCATGTATATTAATTGTACATGCGTGTAACGTATTTTCTGGGAAAGAAGATAGTGGGGCATTAAGATATTTGTGGATCAGTCTGACCGTCTAGGAGCTCTGCCTGGGTAATGTGTGAGTTAGAGAAGGCTGCTTTATCGCCTTTCCTTCTATTGCTCTGCTTTGCTGATACTTCAGCCTTTATTCTACTCTGTGACTTGGCTCCATTGTTCCCCTATATCATTAACTGACAACATTGTCTAGATTTGTTTTCTTGGTTTTTTTAGTGTGTGAAATTAATGCACACATTCTTTTACCTATACTAATTTTGCATAGTGGACAAAAGAGAGAGGGGACAGAGAAGGAGAAAGCAAAGAAGAAAAAGAAGGAGAAGGGCTAGAAAGACTACTGTTGACACTATTCCCTTAATATTTACCAATTTTTAGAATACAGGATTAAAATTATATTTTTCCATAGTGCAAACTCATTCTCTTTTTCTTTCTTGAGAAACACTGGCAGTGTATATCGCTTTTCATTTTTATTTGCTTCTAAAACCTGCTGATATCCTCAGTAACATAGGATACCAGTGTGATGATCTCTTACTGGTTTTTAGAGGAAGATATTCACAACACCTTGTGGTGACATGGAAATAAACATTTGCCGCAGTCTGTACGGCAACTCAGAATCCACCTCAAGTAGCAAAGCAGTGGCAAGACTATATGGTAAATGAGTCAGAAGTAAAAGCTATCATTAAAGTTGTAGGGGTCCTTTTAGAATTAAAATTTCAAAGGGATTTGTTTTGCGATTTGGAATAATACAGAAACACTAGTTTATTTAGCACAGAACCATGTAAATACATGATAAGGCAGATATGGCTTATCGGGACTCACGTAAGCAAAATTTAGGAACATCAGCTGATAGTAATGTTAACAGGAGTCAAATTAAGTGGTTATTATAACCTCAAAAACATCTTGATTTTTTTTAATGTTCATTCATTTTTGAGAGAGAGAGAGAGGGAGAGAGAGAGACAGAGCTCAAGCAGGGGAGGGGCAGAGAGAGAGGGAGACACAGAATCCAAAACAGACTCCAGGCTCTGAGCTGTCAGCACAGAGCCCCACGCAGGGCTTGAACTTACAAACCATGAGATCATGACCTGAGCCAAAGTCAGATTCTTAATTGACTGAGCCACCCAGGTGCCCCAACCTCGAAAACATCTTACTCTTCAATAATAGATTTTTAGTATCATCCATGGACAAAGCAATAGCCCTGCATTACTCTGCTTTGATCAGACTGTACCTGGAATGCTGTGTTCCATTCCGGTCACCTCAATTTGAGATGGAAATTGACACACTGAAATGTGCATAGGTGACTGGCCATGATGATGAGGGAGCAGAGGAAAGGGAGGTATTAGAGAAAAATAGAGTAAGAGGAAATAGGGAACATATTTTTTAAATATCGCAAGGATTGTCACATAGAAGAGGCAGATTTTGTTTTAAATAGTGCCAAATATATCAGAGCCTGAATCAATGAGTAGAAGCCTGAATCAATGAGAAGGACACTCAGTAAAATGAAGAATTTTTATACTCAGAGTTTAAAAATGGAACAAGCAGTCTGGGAATTAGGGAATTTCTTTTATTTATTTATTTTTTTTAATTTTTTTTTTCAACGTTTATTTATTTTTGGGACAGAGAGAGACAGAGCATGAACGGGGGAGGGTCAGAGAGAGAGGGAGACACAGAATCGGAAACAGGCTCCAGGCTCTGAGCCATCAGCCCAGAGCCTGACGCGGGGCTCGAACTCACGGACCGTGAGATCGTGACCTGGCTGAAGTCGGACGCTTAACCGACTGCGCCACCCAGGCGCCCCAGGGAATTTCTGTCATTGAGGCATCTGGGCAAAAGATCTCCCCGAGAGGATTTCATAGAGATGACCCCAACATAGAAGGTTATTGTTCAGGTCAAGTGACCTTTTAGGAACCCCTTCCACCATCAAATTCTACAATATTATGAAATCAAAAGCCATCTGATTCTCACAGCCCATGACCCACCCATAAAGCAAGGGCCAAAAAGTTTAAAGATTATTAAAATGAGAATTAAAATTTGTTTATTAATTTCAAAATCTCAAGCTGAGATAAATCTATAAGAAATCATTGTCATTTCTAGTTAAATGGCTAGATGAATTCTCTTCAAGTGAAAGGATTCAAAATTTCTCCCTTTTTGGAAATTATTTGGTTATTCACATATATAAAGTGTTATTTCTTCCATTCAAACTTGGCCTCTCGTCAATGCAAATATTGAGGTATTTTGTCAAAGCTAGCAAATTTTTAGGTCTGTGATTGTCATATTTCATAAAAGCTCATTTGAAAATGTACTTCTGACATGTCTTATGTGCGTACACATCCATGTGAGAACATCACTTTCCTTCTATCTTTTGCACATAAGAAATTACTCCTAAAATGTTACATAAGAAGGCATTGAAATATAACATGACAGGAAGGCATAATATTCTTAAAGTCCTAAAGCTGATACAGATATTCAATTGGCGATAGAACAGTGGTAAACATATAGCTTATGGCTGAGACAAAAGGAAAGAAAAATGAGGAAAAGCCCTTAACATTTATCAACACGACATTTACAAACAATGAGACGGGTCCTTCCAGGTTCCTGAATGACCACCAGGGCATTAACTTTTCGAGGCACGCAGCGCCCTGGCCACAGTGCACTTACAGTAGGCAGTCATAGGATGCCAGAAACGTTGAAGTGACTTTGGATTACGTAGGCTTTCCACTGTTTAGATTTTCAGTTACATTTGTGCAATTCAAAGTTGAAACCAATAATTAAAATAGGGAAAATTACCTAAATGCAGAGAAAGACTAACAGCATTGAGTCCGCTCTATGAGAAAAATACACAAGAGATGGCAAATACAGGGAGCAAGAAGATAGATGTAGTTTGGAAGAGTCAAATGGTGTAAGAAAAAAAAACATAAATATAATATAAATTCTACTATAAGGACACATTTCATTATTCCAGTAAAACTCTCAAATTTGCCATCTTTAGAATATTTATGCTCTGTAAAAGTACTACCTTTCCAATGTAACTTTTAAAGATATCATTAATCGATATATCTACATGTCATGAGCTAGTCACATGTATCAATTTTTAAATAAGGCAGAAAACAAGTAGTTTATTTTAAGCAAATGAAGTATGACTACCAGCATTTATATATTGATCTCTTTAATGAAATCAATACTGAAAATTTATATTTTGAAAGCAGTTTTGTTCAGGTTGAGTTTCCATTATTAGTTCAAGTTCAAAAGCTGCTTTTACTATGAAGCTTAGAGTAAACCTTAAAAATGGGCATTTAATTCCTTACCTATAAGATACCTTCTCTCACTTATTTTAAAAAATATTTCATGCATAAACATTAGGCAGATTTTTCTCTTCTAGATTTTCAAATGTAAACAATAAAAATCAAGTTTCTGCTCAATAGAAACAAAAAGAAAGAAAGTAATTCATATAGTGACATTTGTATTTTCAAGTTGGAAAATGGGTTCAAGCAGAGGGGCTTCAAAGAAACGACACTAATTCCAAACGCACATCTTTTAAATGATATGTAAGTTAATAATTGTAAGTTACGTGAAAAGTTAGTAACTCAAGGAAGTGTTACATTTCAAAGATAGGAAATGGAAGATAAAGCTGGTAGTTAAATTTCATCACAGTAAAAAGTTACAAATACCTTCTTCAACATCTGAGATATATTCGCCATCACTGAGCATTTCAGGGGCGTTGGCTTTACGAACTGCATGATTTAAGTGAACAGTGTAAGTGTGTGAAAAATGCATACTCTTTATACGACAACAAAAAACATGAACATATCTAAAAACATTTTTGCAATAAACGTTCTTCAGGAAACAAATATGAAGTCACACTTAATTACGAACATAAAGGTGGGTTTCGTACCTTCATCATCAGACATATCAAGAACTTCATTCATCGTTTCTGGAACATTCATTTTGTGCTTCTCTATGATAGTCTAGTAACAACAACAAAAAAGCAGTACTTTAGTGTAAGCAGACTGAACATTTTAATGACACTATTTCTTTCTAAATTAATCAGTTGATTTATTACAGGACTTATGTGCTGAATATCTTGAAGCTCCCACATATAAAACGACATCAAAACTGTCCCTTAGCATTAAGGTCCTCACCATAGATATACTGATAAGAACAAATACAAGGTGAACAAATTCTAGTGGCAAAGCAAACCGGCTTAAAAGATTTAGGTCATAATAAGGCTGTTCAAAGGACAAGAGAAGGGAGATATTGCCTCTCCTTGTCCATTGTTACACTTTTTCATGGTCTCATGAACCTGCCACCTCATTCCACTAAAAGTCTTGGCTGAAGATAAGCCAAATGAACAGCAAGCATTGTGTCTTTATTCCTGTGCCATGCCAGCCATTGATTTTTGTCTTGGCCTTCTATATGTACATTCTGATTCCTAGCTTAAATACAAAACATCAAGATTGTATAAATTATATAATTTGTGCAACTATGCCTTGCAGAAAATATTTTAGAGGTAATGCATTTGCAAGATCATTTTAACCCCTACACAATTTTAAAGAACTGTAGATTACAGAGCAAAGGCCTTAGTGAATCTTTTACTTGCTCTTTGATGACTTTTTACCTATATAGATTATGTCCATCCAAAGACACCAACAACATAACTTGTTAAAAAATATTAGTGACTTAATGTTTTAGTTGTAAAACAAGTCCTCTTTTTATCTTGAGCATAGGAAAGGCTAATGGAACATGGGAAGATACTTAAATAAGGCAACTGGAAAAAAAGCTAGGTTGTTAAAACTATGGTACATTTGTCACAATTACTGAACCAATACTCACATATTACTATTAATTAAACTCTATATTTTATTCAGATTTCCTTAGGTTTTACCAAATGTCCCTTTTCTATTCTAGGACCCATCAGGATACCACATTATCTTTAGCTGGCAGGCCTCCTTAGGCTCCTTTGGCTGTGACAGTGTCTCAGATTTTCCTGGTTTTTAATGACCTTCACCGTTTAGAAGTGAGCTGGTCAGGTATTTTGTAGAATGTCCCCCAATTGGGATTTGTCTCATGTTTTTATCATGACTGGACTGGGTCACATGTTTTGGGGAGGAAGACCACAGAGGTAAAGTGCCAATATACTATCAACATGATTTACCAGCGTTGGTATTAGGCTTGGTCACCTGGCTGAGGCAGTGCTTGTTAGGTTTCTCCATTGTAAAGTTACTCTGTTCTCCACCCCCTTCTGCAGACTGTCTTCACTGGAGGGAAAACACTATACCCAGCCCACACTTAAGCAGTAGAGAATTCTGTTCTCCACCTCCTTGCGGGTATTTTCATAAATTGTTTGATTTTTTTTCCCCTGATTTGTCTCTTCTTCCCTACTTATTCATTTATCTATATCATATGGACTCATGGATATTTACTTTATACTTTGCACTATACTCCAAGTCTCTCTGTGTGTCTGTCAGTCTGTCTCTCTCTCTTTCTATCTATCTTACATTGTTCCAGCTTTGGCCATTGGGAACTCTTTCAGTTGATTCCTGTGTCCCTGTGACATAGCCTTGTCATTTTGAGTGTGTGTGTTTATTTGCTTATTTGTGGAAGCAGACACTTCCTTACTTTTTGGCACTACAAGACGTTCATCTTGTGTATTTCCTTCTCCAGATCTGGATTCAGTCATTTCCCAAGGAAGCCCTGATTCCCTTTACTATAGAACAGTATTAGAAACCAGTATCTGAGAGACATGCTCTGTTCTTTGCTAATGAGGGAAACTGAATATTTTAAACAATGCAATTTAAATGCTTAATTCATCTTTTGAGTGTCAGCTTCTAGCTACTCAGTTTTCTACTCTGCCAGGACTGTAATGTCATTAACTGAAGCATCTTTCTTAGAATTGCCACATCATATGTTATACTCATGGGGAAGATGAATCTTCTCTTTAAGCGTTTTGAAAAAAGACACATCTGTTTATGGAGCCAATGGCTGCTGGGGCCCCAGCAACTGGCTGTGCAAAGACCACCAGCAGTGCAGGCCACCCTGTGAGCTTGAGATCACAGACTCCACCCTGAGCTGTGTCAGTCCTCATTTGTGCCAGGTTACATGTATCTGCTAAGGCAGAGTTGACAAGGTTGTGTCTTAGCTTGAGATAAAGTCTCAAATACCACAATGATGGACTAAGTCTTAGGGATAATGGACTCTTTCCTAACCTACGGGACCACTTCATTTGGTGGAAGCCTCATTCACTTCATTAGGCAAACTGGACCTTTCCTGTCAGCACAAGTCCCGTCTTCTCTCTCTTGAAGAAATTACCAGTCAACTCAGCTGATGACACTGAAGGCTATGGCCTGACTCCCATACGTTTCTGTCTTTCACTAGAAACCAGAGCCTTGAAACACTTCTCTTTCAGTAGATATCCTGAGGCTATCACTTTACTTTCTCTGTCTTTAACTTTATTTTCTCCTCAAGGTTTTTTTTTTCTTTTTTTTTTTTAAGATTTTATTTTTAAGTAATCTCTACACCCAACACGGGGCTCGAACCCACAACCTCAAGATCAAGAGTTACATGCTCTACCGACTGAGACAGCCAGGCGCCCCTTCTCAAGCTGTTTTTGATATTAAAGAAACATTCTGAACTTTCCTGATGGGTGAGAAAGTTTTTTACATTTGATAACTAAGATTTATATTTTGAAAAAAAATTTTTAATGTTTATTTATTTTTGAGAGAGACAGAGACAGAATGTGAGTGGGTTAGGGGCAGAGAAAGAGGGAGACACAGAATCCGAAGCAGGCTCCGGGCTCCGAGCTGTCAGCACAGAGCCCGACACAGGGCTCGAACTCATGAGCCATGAGATCATGACCTGAGCCAAAGTCGTACAGTCAATCGACTGAGCCATCCTGGTGCCCCAAGGTTTATATTTTGAACTATTATACAAGTTTCAATTTTCCAACACTGGAAAAGAAGTTCTATATATTTATTACAGTGACTTCAAATCTTTTATAGCATTGTGACACTTGACCATTGTTTTACCTTGTCCTTCTCCCTCTTGTTTCATACCCTACAGAGAGCTAGATGGAATATTTTTAAGATTAAGGTTAATAAACATTATTTGTTTAAACTCATTTCTCAAGAACTTAATACCAGATTTTAAGATCATAAAATACTCAAGAGGTATATAAAAGCAATACAGGGTAATTTATCTGCATAAAAACTGTATCTTGAAGCTAGAAATGTGCCCTGGTTGATAACCATTGCTCTAGTCCATTGAAGCTACTGCATTCTCTTTGGCAAATAGCATACTTTCTCTCTTGTGATCAGCAGGCTTATTGTTTTAGTTCGTAAACCCTGTATATAACTCAGCCAGCGGGTTGCCGCAGAGACCCTCAACCTGTGTTCTTTTACGTGAAGCACTGTGTACACAAACTGTTTGCAGACGCTAACTATGCCTTTCTTCACATCGGAAGGTGGTGGATGAGACAAGGAGGCAGAGTCGATAATTCCCAGTGTTCCAGAGTCCTAAATTTACATTGTACAGAGCCAATCTCAGGCATGTGTGTTGAGTCATGGAGTCAGGAATAACTGCAATAAGCCTGTGATAATGGCGCAATATCAGCTCTTGATTCCAAAGTTACCAAATCCTGATGCAGTTCAAAGGCTCCAGATGGTGTTAATAAGAAATGACTTATCCTAGAGGCTGCAGCTTGTAAAAATGTATCTGACGCAATAAGGCTCCCTGGTAAAGATTTATTTATAATTTTAATAAAACATCCTATTGTTTTTCCTACGAAAACGCCAATAGCTGACTGGAAGGGTGGTGAGGGTGGTGATAAAAATCCATTTCGATCCTCTCCCTAATGTTTTAGTTTTGCAACAACGTAAAAACTGTTTTCACAATGATAGCAACGAATCCATTATCATTTGTGAGTCACAACATCGTAAAGAACCAACTTATCTTCAACTTTCCTACACTGCCAAAGAAGAATGTGAAAATATTTCTGCCTTCACTTCATTAAAACTATTTTTACAGCAAAACAAATAAATACATACATTTAGCTTTACGTGGAATGAAAAACTCCATAGTTCCTAATGCAAATTTTAAAAAGGTATTTTTAGTATTTAGTTTCTCAATATCAGAAATGAGAGGGACAGCATTTGGAAACATGGCGCTTAGTCTGTGAAGAGGGGAAAGTAGGTTCATCTCCCAAAAGCCCCAGAAAATCTACAGCCTGAGAGCTGGCTATGAGGGGACAAGGGCCAGCATCTGCTACTTACAGTTGTGGTCATGGTTTCCTCAGTCACTACTTTCAGGGTGTCGACCACTGAGATGTAGCCCAGCCTCCGGGCAATGGCGAGGGCAGTGTTCCCATTCTGGCCAGAGGGAAATGAGGACAAGGAATTAACAAGTCATTCCCCGTGTCTTAGTGTCTGTGTGCTCCCACATGTTTCGCCCATACTAAACAGAAGGCGAGTGTCTCATTGGCCCCACCCACTGTCATACACAAAACACTATTTCATTAGACACATACCTTGCACAAAACCCACCTAACCTGTTCCCACTCACGCAGCAGAGACTCGGCTTCTACACACGGAACCCAAGAGGCTTATTAACGTTCTAAATCATCAAAGAAACAAACGTTTTTCATTTTATATATGTATTTCCTACTAGTTGGCAATGGATTTGTAGTTTCTAAGTATGAAACATCTAATTACATCTTTCTCTCTCTGGACAGCTCACAATATAGCTATTGTCTCTGCCCTGCATTCCACTGAATGCTCTGTTTATACCTATCAATGAAAGTAAAACAGCAACATTGGTGCCCGATAAAAAATGTAAGAAGATTCCAGTATCCAGGTTCATCTCCTCCCTCCTCCCTTAGCCTCCCTCTTCCCTTCCCTTCCCCCTTACCACAGTGAGTTCATTGGGGGAAGCGTTGTTCTGAAGCAAGACATTTATTATATGTGTGTGTCCCTGCTGAGCTGCTTGATGTAACGGCGTATACCCATTCTGCAGAAGGAAGGTGGAAGAAAGGACATTTACTTCCTTGGACACAAAAATCAATGACTTTGGTGGATACAAAGGAGAAAAGAGTTTACCTTTGTTTTGGCATTAACTTTTGCAGAATGCTGGAGCAGGAAGTTAACAATCTTGATGTTTCCATAGTGGCAGCCCACATGGAGAGGTGTGTATCCCATCTGTAGTTATATTTTTTAGAAAAGAAACCTCATAAGTATACTTTTAGTAACAGCTACCCTAAATAGAAGCAAAAGTATTATTTAACCTGTCTTTTTGAGATGGCAAAAAATAAGTGTTTTCCCCATATGTGTGTGTGTGTGTGTGAGAGAGAGAGAGAGTGTGTGTGTGTGGGGGGGGGGTTACTAAAAAATAGTACCATGTCACATGTAAGTAGTTAGGAACTTCCCAAAGGACTCTCTCTTGCATCAACTCATTTTATTCTCGCACCAACTTTTCAAGATAGGAAGTAAACATGGCACAGCCGGCAGTCTGGACAGAGTGATGGTGTGGCTTCTGGGGGAGGGTTAGGGAGAGTGTTCTGCAGACAGATGTGGACTAGGATTTACAGAACACTCTATTCTCTCTCTTTTTTTTAAATATATGAAATTTATTGTCAAATTGGTATCCATACAACACCCAGTGCTCATCCCAACAGGTGCCCTCCTCAATACCCATCACCCACCCTCCCCTCCCTCCCACCCCCCATCAGCCCTCAGTTTGTTCTCAGTTTTTAAGAGTCTCTTATGCTTTGGCTCTCTCTCCCACTCTAACCTCTTTTTTTTTTCCTTCCCCTCCCCCATGGGTTCCTGTTAAGTTTCTCAGGATCCACATAAGATGAACACTCTATTCTCTAAAAGCATAAAACTGAGGTAGAAAAAAACACAAAGTGGCTTAATGATAATGCCAGGCAGTGGATGAGCATCAGAACGCATGACAGAGGTGGGAAGCACAGAACCACTAAAGCCGAAGAGGCTGGTCTTCAGGAGGTCTGGGACGCATGAACTTGATCTGGGTGTATATGCTGTAGCTAAAGGCTGCTGCCCAACTAGCTAGAGTCCCATAATTTGAAAACAACTGATTTAGACAAAGCAGTAAGTTGTTTCCCAAATTAACAGACAAAGCAGTAAGTTGTTTCCCAAATTAATATCCTCTGACCGCTGAAGGACATAAGTCCTATCTATTAAAAAATGTATTTTTACACATATATATGATTATATATGTATCATATATATGTGTGTATAACTATGTGTTTAAAATAAGGATATCCAGATACTCGTCTAGATGGCCACATTGCAAGAGACACCACCATGTCATTTCAGTGCCCACAATCAATCTCTGTTTATGAGGACATTGGCAGCACCAGATCACCACAAGGAAGAGCATAGAGTTTTAAAACCATTTCTCAGTATGCACGAGGGGGGCAGGGGAACATGGGGGTCCATGGTTTCAAGGATCTGTATCTCATGTGCGATGCACTATTGTATCTTTATGGTGACTCCATGCTACAGACTGAATGTCTGTGTCCCCCTAAATTCATATGCTGAAACCCCAACCCCCAGTGTGATGGCATTTGGAGATGTGGCCTTTGGGAGGTACTTAGGTCACAGGTAATTAGGTGGAGTCCTCATGAATGGAATTAGTGCCCTTACAGGAAGAGGGGAGAGAGCTCGCCTCTTCTCTCTGCCCTCTGCCATGTGAAGATTACAACAAGAAGGTATGAGATAGTGATCTGCAAACCAGCAAGAGGTCCCTTACCACACAAGGGATCTGCTGGCACTTTGATCTTGGACTTCCCAACTTTCAGAACTGTGAGAAATGGAAGTTTGTCCACTCTATGGTATTCTCGTTATAGCGGCCCCATCTGACGAAGACATGTTACAAATGGGTATATTTGAATTTGAAAAGGGAATGGCCAGGCCATGGCTGATTGTGGAAGGTGAAGACATCTCACCAGGGACGTGATGCCCTAAAGAGCTTACTCTGGTCACATTCTGTTCCACAAACGGAGCTGTCAGTGCTCGCACACTGCCTGGACTCCCACTGATAAAGCTCAGCATAACCACTTGTATGGGAGTCATATGGAAACCCCAAAGCTGCTCCATGCATGATGAAGAAGATCATGTTTTGGTGACCAGAACTGACTTGCCTACTTTACAGACACCCTTCTCTTTCTTTCTTTCTTTCTTTCTTTCTTTCTTTCTTTCTTTCTTTCTTTCTTTCTTTCTTTTCTCTTTCTTTCCTTTGTCTTTCTTTCCTTTGTCTTTCTTTCTTTCTTTCTTTCTTTCTTTCTTTCTTTCTTTCTTTCTTTCTTTCTTTCTTTCTTTCCTCTTTCTTTCCTTTGTCCTTCTTTCCTTTGTCTTTCTTTTTTCTTTCTTTCTTTCTTTCTTTCTTTCTTTCTTTCTTTCTTTCTTTCTTTCTTTCTTTCTTGTTTATTTATTTTTGAGAGAGAGAGAGAGAGAGAGAAAGACAGAAAATCCCAAGCAGGCTCCATGCTGTCAGCACAGAACCCGATGTGGGGCTTGAACTCACAAACTCACAAACTGTGAGATCATGACCTGAACCGAAATCAAGAGTCAGATGCTTAACTGACTGAGCCATCCAGGCACCCTGCAGACTTCTTTCTTGATGCTGAGGAGCTCAGGATACTGCATTAGAAATCAGAATGGTGCTTAGTGTAGGAGGCATGGAAATAATTTTCTCTAATCAGTTCTCAGTACAATTAGCTTAACTGAAGTAACATTACTCCCAACTTTAGTGGTGGAGGATTAATCCCAAGCTAAAAAAACATATAGAAAATATTTTTAAAATCTAAATATTAAGAAACTTTTCATGTTTTGAGTCAATGTGCCTAAGCAATAATGCAGCAGTTTCCAATGGCTATTGTACTACATCTATTAATTAGATTTTTTAAAGAAATTGAATCATTTTAAGTATTTTATTTATTTATTTATTTATTTTGAGAGAGAGAGGGAGAGAGGGAGAAGGAGAAGGGGAGGGGGGAGAGAGAGAGAGAGAGAGAGAGAGAGAGAGAGAGAGAGAGAGCATGAGCAGGGGAGGGGCAGAGAGAGGGAGGGAGAGGCATGAGGCTCAATCTCATGAACGGTGAGATCATGACCTGAGCCAAAATCAAGAGTTGGATGCTTAGCTTACTGAGCCACCCAGGAGCCCTGATTTTAAGTATTTTAATGTACAATTTCTACTCACCGTCATAGCTTCTCATCTCATTCCTAGTAAAACCCTAAGTCATTGTGATGGGCTATTAGGGCCTGTCTGAACTGGTCCCTCCTCTACACCACCTATGCATTAAATCTCTGAGCTCATTCCTCCCAATCTCTTCCCTGTTTGTTATACTCTAAGACACTGGTATTCTCAGTGCTCCACAAGCATTTAAGTATTTTATTAAAAATACATGTGCATCGTCAAGAAGATTTATTTTGCATTTAGAGAAACCAAATTGGGGCTTTTCCATTCATTGAGAGTCATAAAATGCCCACATTAAATGGTACCTTGCATAAATATGCTCAGAGGGATGTGATTTGAGAAATTCTTTCCAACTAGCAGCAATCAATTTTGGAAAGACCGACTATTCTGTCTGGAATAGCTAAGAAATAATCACAGTTCAGCTAACTGAGCAGTCTCTGCCTCTTTTTCCACTGTTGCCTACTTATACCATCATTATAAGTGGGAGTTAAGCCTTCTCCTTTAGGCAATACCAAGAGGTTGCATTTGTATATGAAGAGCAAACAGGTGCAGATGGAGATTCTGGCGTTTTTGATCCATGGTGCCGTAGCACCTTATTTTACTGAGTTAGGTGCATCTGCTCAAACGGGGTTTGGGAGAGAGGGGTAAGAAAGCCACACTTCACTCCCAACCTCCTAAAATCTGTGGTTCTCGATCTACGAGTCCATCCTTAGCCTTCCTTACTCTTGGCATAGTCTTCCTCAGTGAACACACCCATTCACAGCTATGACTACTCCTTGATTTTATTTCAGGTAGAATTTTTTTTTTCAATTTTTATGTGTTGATTGTTGTATGTGTATGAAAGACTATCGTCACATGTTATACTAAGGAGTACTTAACAATATGGCAGACGAAGACCCATGGAAGACTGTAAGATATCTTCACAAAGAGCTTTTTTAAAACATCATTGATCCCAGGATTTGTTCTTTGATTTCCACCACATTGTTTCTCAGTGAGAGACAGACAGAGAGAGAGAGAGAGAGAGAAAGAGAGAACACAGGGGAGAGGGACCGAAGGAGAGAAAGAGAGAATCCTAAGCAGGTTCTACACTTAACACAGAGCCTGATGCGGAGCTTGATCCCATGACCCTGGGATCATGACCTGAGCCGAAATCAAGAGTTGGACTGAGCCATCCAGGCACCCCAATACTTATTTAAGTATTTCTTAAATTTCTCCCTTGTTCATCAATTTCCCATCTGCCCCTAAGCAGAGTCTTCTTTATTCTCCATCTAGACCTTAGTAACAGCCTTCAAATGCCCCTCCTCCAAACTCCTTTGACCTACTTAGTTTTTGCACTATCTCTTAGGCTCTTTCTAAACCCGATGTCTGATCTTACCACTCTTCTGTTTAAAACCTTCCATGGCTTCCCAGTGCAAACAGGATAAAAAGCTGAACTTACTTTGCCTGGCACATTAAGGCCCTCTGAAATCTTGGAAAATATTTTTTTTATTATTTAAAACTTAATTTTATTATTTATTATTTTTGACAGAGAAATAGAGAGAGAGTGTGTGTGTATGTGAGAGAGGGAGAGAGAGAGAGCATGAACTGGGGAGGGGCAGAGAGAGAGACACAGAATCTGAAGCAGGCTTCAGGCTCTGCATTGTCAGCACAGAGTCTGACGCAGGGCTTAAACTCACAAACCACAAGATCATGATCTGAGCCAAAGTCACATGCTTATTAACCAACTGAGCCACCCAGGCCCTCTGAAATCTTAATCTTCTAGCAGTATCTTGGGACATGCCCCCAATTTTTTCTCATGTTTCTGTGATACTGAACCAGTTATAGCTCCCTCCTACATTCCCAACCTTTGTGAAATAATTCAGTTAATTCCAATAGTTCTAAAATTACTAATTTATATATGGGGTCAAATTCAAGCTTTGTACCAATTACCTATGTGACCTTGTATAAGTAATTACTTGTCTGTACCTCAGTTTCCTCTGAGGGACAGGGATACTAATTTCTCCCACCTCCTAGGGTAGTTGTATGGATTAAACTAATTAATAAAGGAAAGAAATTATACATTATATATATATATAATATAATACATTTTATTATATTATTATATATAATTATACATTGTTATATTATATTATTACTATATTATTTTATTATTATTTTTATTATCATATGTCTTCTTTTCTAGACTATAAAGAGATCAAGGAATATATCACCCCGTTGAGAACTTGGCAAGTAGTAAGAGCTCAAAAAAATGAATGTGAAATGAGCATCAAATACATTTTTTCATTATTTTACACACATTTAAAGAAATATAATTTAACTATTAATTTGCTAATTAGTACCCCTGAGAATCAGTGCATTTGGATGGTCTAAATAAAATGCTTCAGGAGATTATTCTTTTAAAAAGTGAAAGGAATAGCTTTATTTCATCTGAACAGCACTAAATATTAAACCCTGTGGCCAGCAGCACAATTTAGTCTGAACTGATTTGGTGAACTTCAAATACAGAGCTGGACGTGGAGAAGGTCAGCAAGCCCAGTGGGAAGGCTGCAAAAGCTGTTACCAGGATTTTCAGATATTTTTCCCACAAGACAGAAGTGTTTTCCATGTTTTCATGATTATCATTTTTTAAATTTAAGCCTGAATCTGACGGTACTATACTTTCCAACTGTAGGCTGCTTAGAGACATCATCTTCACCAATAAGAATTTGGACATTCATAGAATAAACTTATTCACAAGATCAGAAGGCAAATCCCAACAACCTATCTCTCTGCACTTCTGCTCTATTCAGCTATAGTATGATCACAGCCTCAGGGCTTTCTTGGTGCTATGATCTTTGCTGAGAAGAAAAAGAAAGGGAAAAGAATTTGTAGGAGGCAGAGAGGTGCTTTTCAAATTTTTTTTTTAACGTTTATTTATTTTTGAGACAGAGAGAGACAGAGCATGAACGGGGGAGGGCCAGAGAGAGAGGGAGACACAGAATCGGAAACAGGCTCCAGGCTCTGAACTGTCAGCACAGAGCCTGACGCGGGGCTCGAACTCACAGACTGCGAGATCATGACCTGAGCTGAAGTCGGACGCTTAACTGACTGAGCCACCCAGGCGCCCCGAGAGGTGCTTTTCAAAGTGCATCACTTGTAAAGGGCAGGAAAGGGAACATGCTTCATAAATATTATACCAGGTACAAAAATGATCATGACCTAAGGTGGGCTGGGTTAGGAGGAAACCCTGATAGAGGACTAAGAACCTTAAGCCCAGGGGCCACGTGTGCAAGAAGACTCATGGCACCATGTCCTGCCTCCCCACCTGCCCCGGAGAATCATTGCCACACTTCCTGACTGAATTATGGTATATGCTTTGGATGTGCAGGGGCAAAAACATATGGAGAAACTTAACCCTGACTGTGCTTCCTGGAATCTTTACTATGTAAAGAGAGAGGTAACCAAAAAACGTGTTTAAGTCTGTGTTTGTGTGTGTAAATAAAACAACACAAGATGAATATATTTACCATAAGTAAAATAAAGATGGTAAGCTAAACTCAGTCTGATTCTTTTTTTAGAATTAAAAATGCTTTTATTTTTCGAATGGAGAGTAGCAAGAAACCATCCAGCTGCTGCCAGTGCCTTTAATGGTTTCTCTTAAATACTCAGCTACCTAGGAAAGCACTCAAGACTGAGGATCATGAGAATTTTTAGAAAGGAAGGGAAATAGAGTGAAGGGATTGCTGAGCAAGCTGGCTACCAAGTGAGGTCGTGGAGACCTCAAGACCACAGAAATTCCAGAAAGGGAGGTAGAGGGGAGTTTGCCTACCTCCCAGTTCCACCTCGGGCTGTCCTGACCAGGGACAATGATACTTGCTTTACTGCTTTAACACAAACTTTAAAGCACAGACAGGATCTTGCCTGGTCAGATCTCTTTCAGGCAGCTTCTTTTTAATAGAACACAGTATGGGTGGAGCAGCCACTGCCACAGACAGCCGAACAATGTCCAAAGGGTGTAGTCTACTCAGGGCTGTTCCCTCTGTGCTTGTCTGGCAAATCCAGTCTGATTTTGATGTCTGAATGCCACTTTATTTTTTATGTTTTTAATTTGATAGAGAGGGTGAGGAAGAGAGGCAGAGGAAGAGGGGGGGGGCGGAGAGAATCTTAAGCAGGCTCCATGCTTAGTGCAGAGACCAATGGGGGGCTTGATCCCATGACCCTGGGATCATGACTTGAGCTGAAATCGAGTCAGGCGGTCAACCAACTGAGCCACCCAGGTGCCCCTGAATATCTTTTGACTTGGCTAATTCCTGGTGATACTTCTATATTTGTTAGTATCTTCAGTATTTATATATACACCTCAGAATCTATACATATTATATACAAAATGTTTGTATTCACAATTTTTCATTTTGAGAGAGAGAGAGAGAGAGAGAGAGAGAGCATGTGTTCAAGAGCAGAGAAAGGGGCAGAGAGAGAGGGAGAGAGAATACCAAGCAGGCTCCATGCATAGCACAGAGCCCAGTGCAAGGCTTGATACAACTTTATTTATTTATTTATTTTTATGTTTTTAATTTGAGAGAGAGGGTGAGGAAGAGAGGCAGAGGAAAAGAAAGAGAGAGAGAGAGAGAATCAAGAATCAGATGCTCAACCAACTGAGCCACCCAGGTGCCCTTGTATTCACAATATTTAATAAGCATTCATTTTTGTGTCAAAAATATGATATATGGAAAGAAACAAGAGTTATATTTTAGAGTAGATAAAACAAGTTTGCCATGAAGAGGTAGCAAAATTAAGTGCAAAATAAATGCTCAGAGAAATGGGGTTAATGTGAAGTCCTATGTCTGATGACACAAAACATCCATTTTTCTTATCTGAGTTTGAAATTGTGTAATTATAAGATATTAATCAGTATTGTTTTCTTTCTGAAGAGAGCTATTTGAGAGAAAGAGAGAGAGAGAGAGAGAGAGAGAGAGAGAGAGAGAGGGAGAGAGGGAGATTCTAGTGACCACACATACCATAAAGATTTTAGCAAGTGAGGAATAACTGAATAAAACTTATTTTATCCTTTTTTTTAATAGACTATGTCTGAACAAAGTTAATGGTCACAAATTACTGATAAATTTTTCTGGATGCGTTTTTAAAGTCAGTCACAAAAGCTAAAAAAGGTCCAAGATTTTACACTCTGTCCTTGGAGGACCGATTTGTTATCACAAGGATAAATACTGTTATCATGGGTGGATATCTATAGGCAGCTGGGATAAAGTGCCCAGGCCATTAAAGACATAAAGCATCTGGGACACTATAACCAGAGGCTTTGGTGTCCTTTGCACAGATTTATGTTTGACATGCTATGTATAAAAGATATGATGGAAAATTTATTCTCCCCCCATCAAATTGTACTTGTTTCCATATAGGAGTCACCAAACGACACATTCTTTTTTGTATACCTTTGTCTGGGCATCCACATTTGCCCCTTGGTTTACGAGGACTTCAGCCACATTCACTCTGTCTTCTTGAGCAGCCAAATGGAGTGGGGTCAGGCCATTCTGCAAAAGATTCAAAGTACAGTCATTTTAGAGAAGGTAATATAGCACACATGGCATGTATGAGCAACAATTTATGAATTGTAGGAGACTAAGCCTTGAATTCTTAAATTAAAAAAAAAAATTTTAAATGTTTGAGAGGAAGAGCATGAGTGGAGGAGGGGCAGAGAGAGAGAAGGAGGCAGAGGATTCAAGCAGGCTCTGAGCTATCAGCACAGAGCCCAATGTGGGGCTTGAACTCACGAACTGTGAGATCATGACTTGAACCGAAGTCAGATGCTCAACAGACTGAGCCACCCAGGTGCCCAAGCCTAGAATTCTTACGTTAAAAAAATCTACAAAATATGTTTATATATTGGCACCGTGGCAACACTGTTATCTGCAGGCTTCATGAAAATTTCAAACATTCTCAGAAGTGGAAGGAATGGACTGAACCTTGTGGACTCACCACAGACTCTATGGTTTATCAAGGTTTTCCTACATTTGCTTCATCCAGCCCTACTTCCTGTTCATTCTTTTCTTTGTGGACGTATTTTAAGGCAAATCCCAGACATTATACCATTTTCCTACTACATACTCCAGTGTTCACTTGTTAACTAGAGGCTTTAAAAAAAAGATATAAAATGATATAATGTCTGGGATTTGCCTTAAAATACGTCCACAAAGAAAACAATTTTTAAATGAATTAACAAAAATGTTTTGTTGTTGTTAATTTTAAATGAGTAAACAAAAGCAGAATCGGGTCTGTTAAAACAGAAAACAAACTGATGGTTGCCACAGGGAAGGGGAGTGAGAGATTGTGCAAAATGGGTGAAGGGGAGTGGGAGACACAGGCTTCCAGTTATGAAATGAATAAGTCATGGGAATAAAAGGCACAGCATATGGAATACAGTGAATAATATTATAATAGTGTTGTGACAGGACAGAGATGGTAGCTAAACTTGTAGCGAGCACAGCATGATGTATAAACTTGTCAAACCACTAAGTTGTACATCTGAAACTAGTGAGATTGTATGTCAACTATACTCAAAAATAAGTAAATAAATATTTACCAAAAAGACACCTAGAGAATTTTTTTGCAAAATTATGCAGGAATTTCAACACATGACCATTGGCACTAGCTTTAGCAGAATTAAAAGAAAAGTTGGTTATAAAATTAAATATTGACATATGATGATAATATTTTCTTCACCGAATATTAATACCCACAGCTGATAAATATGTTCTGTATGTTGTTTCTGGGTAGGAAAGATGGCCTCGAAATGCAAAATGAATGCTGTACCATGAGAATTTCCAGGTCATTTGAATGGTGTATGTGTTTAATGAGACTGAACATTTGAAACTGAGTCTACAACAGAATGTGCAGGCTACCTGGTTGTTCTAATGGCCAAGAAAAAATCACCAAGACTGTACACAAGTTTAAAAATCCTCTGTAGTTGTAAAGTGTCTTTTCATGAATAATATTTAGGAAAGAGTAACTTGGTGTGCTTGCAGATTGTTTTCTTTCCCCCAGTACGAGCATGGAGGTTAGTATCTGAGTCCTGGAGGCCTTCCTTCTCTTCCTCTAGCATCTGTGCAACGGGAGCCTCGGCCATGGCATTTGTCAGAGGAGAGGAGTGAATCAGGGACAACACCAGCGAGGGCACAGAGCCCTCTAGATGCCGTACATGACTTATTCAGGGGTTGCTGTCCCATCAAACAGATTATAGGATTCAGGAAGACTCACTTGCTCTCGGCTTTTTAACTATTTACAGAATTTGGGAGGAAGCCCACTCAAACTGAAAAGAGAGGAAACATGAAAAGGAGGACCAATGCACTCAGTTGAAGTCCAAGAAAAATAAGCTGGGGCCAAGACTGGCACCACCCAACACTGACATAATCTTAGAACAATGTTCCATGTTCTACTTTATTTATTTATTTATTTATTTATTTATTTATTTATTTATTATTTTTAATTCCAGTTAGTACACATACAGTGTTCTATAAGTTTCATGTATACAATATAGTGATTCAACACTTCCATATATCAGCCAGTGCTTATCACAACAAGTGCCCTCCTTAATCCCTGTTTCACCCATCCCCCCACCCCCTCCATGTTCTACTTTAGAGGAAACAAATATTTTCAGCCATAGTATTTTGTAGAGGTTACCTATTCTAAGTTTGAGACTTTTTAAGACTTTTGAAGATACTTTACTGAGTGTTTCTCAGCAAAGTTTGGGAAAGGTATTGTGGCATGGGCCTTACTTTCTCGTGTTCCCCCGTGTTCATGCTGCCTCATGGGTTACCCACTCTGCCTGTACCATGGAGTCACTCACAGCCTTCCTGGACTTCACTGTCTGTCCTTGTCTCACAAAGGGCCTCATTGTTACATTTATGTGCACACCTTCTATGTGCTCACCTCTATTAAGAGCATCATAATCCTGCATTTAAATTCTGTTTCCTTGGGGCACCTGGGTGGCTCAGTTGGTTAAGCGTCTGACTTCAGCTCAGGTCACGATCTCACGGTCCGTGAGTTCGAGCCCCGCGTCCGGCTCTGGGCTGATACCTCGGAGCCTGAAGCCTGCTTCCGGTTCTGTGTCTCCCTCTCTCTCTGCCCCTCCCCCGTTCATGCTCTCTCTCTCTCTCTGTCTCAAAAATAAATAAACGTTAAAAAAAAAATTAAAAAAAAAATAAATTCTGTTTCCTTGTCTGTCTTCCTCAAACCACTGTGACCTTGTTGAGGCAAATACTGTATCCTTAATCTTTTTATAACCAGTGTCTAGCGTCTAGCACTGAATCATCCACTAGATGATTAAATCAGAAGATAAAAAGCAAACATCTTTAGATAAAATATGCTAAAAAGAAACTTATTTTTATGTTCATGATTTTCATTTAAAAGATTTTATTTTGTTATTTTTTTTAAAAGTTTATTTATTTAATTTTGAGAGAGAGGAAGAGCACGCACAAGCGGGGGAGGGTCAGAGAGAACAAATGAGACACAGGATCCAAAGCAGGCTCCAAGCTCTGAGCTGTCAGCACAGAGCCTGATGCAGGGCTCGAACCCATGAACCGTGAGATCCAAGTCGGACACCTAACTGACTGAGCCACCCAGATACCCCATCATTAAAAAGATTTTTAAATAATAATGTGGTGGTTACAACAGTCCCATTTGAATTCAGAGGTTACCTGTTAATCTTTTATAAGGTTTCAACCATTGCTTATTTTAAAAAGTGGCGGTTATTTGGAACAAGAGAACACCACTAACTCAGAATATCAACAGCCCTGCTTAATATTCTATTAGTGGTACAAAGGAATAGAGCTACTTGTGGTCTACAAAATCCATGTGGGAAAGCAGGAACATCAAAAGCGAAACTGAAATCAAACACTAGCTAACTTCACTAGTAGCTAGTCATGGTCTCTTTTCCTTGAAGCTACTGGGAACCACTGATTACTAGTCAGAAAAGAAATAAGTGAAAGCAATAAACTATTTAGTTCAATATCAATTTTCACAAAAGCTAAATCTTTCTTTTTAATATCTATTTTTTAACAAGGAAATAAAATCTAGTGTTAAGTGGGGAGGTAGGACAGGGAGGGAGAGACAATAAATGATGTTTAAAATTGGCAGTTTAGGAAAAACTGACAGAAAATGGTCAGAGTTTCCTTATTGAATAACATGTTCTGCTCATTTTCTGTTTTCACATCAGGGCTTACTTCACACTTTATATGGAACATGGCAACTGAGAAAGGAAGCAAAGATTTACAAATGCCTTCATATTAGATCATTCCTTGGTACTGTGAAGTTCTTGAAAGTTCCTTAACTTTAATGTGCTCATGGGAAGCCAACTGATCTGCTTTTCAAAATTTCTCTGGAAGTATCTCTGCTCATGTAGGATTTTTTCCCTGGAGGATGGCGGACAATTTTGGTCCTCAGAATTTCCTTGCTAATTTCCAGTCTATCAAAGCAAACACTGGGAACTTCTGAAGTATTTTCAGCCTAAAAAATGTCTGTGATTTTAAGGCAAATGCAAGGCTGGATATGTATTGCAACTAGTTGACTGGAGGATTTTATTTATTTGTTTATTTGTTTGACTGGAGGATTTTAAAGAAAAAGAAGTCACAGTATACTTTGGTATCAAATCTCCTGAAAACATTCACCTATTAACCAGTTGTTAAGGTCTATATTGCCTTTGAGAGAATTAGTGAGATACAGTATTCTGGGCCCTTCAAATAGACTCTAATGGATGCCAGAATGTACTTCAATTTGAGAAGACCAGGTCTTCTACCTTGTCTTTAAGACAAGTTGAATTTTGCAGCAAATTATTGTAAGCTTGGTCTCTATCTGAACGCTTGAAATTCAAAAACCATCCTGTTTATAATGGCTGTTTGAAATTGCTCTGTGATTCCTATTAATACAGAGACATGCACAGATAAAAGGAATGTTTAAAATAAAAGATAAGAGAGGAGGGAAGATGGCGGCGTAGGGGACTCTGGGCTCACCGCGCGTCCTGCTGATCACTTAGATTCCA